TCAGCCCCTGCGGCCGTTCCAACCCCTTCAAGGAAATCTATCAAGACTTAACCTTTTGGAATCCCCCCCAAACAGACACCGTAGCCGTCTGAGCTGAGGTGATGGAAAATAAGGCCCCATCTAGAGTTTGGTCTCGACCAGGTACCATGCTGCCTGGTCTCCAGGCCTTGTGCCGCTGAAACAGCCTGGGCCCAGACACTGGCCCAAGGCCACGCTGCGGGTGAGAGACCATGGTGTGGCGCACCCTCCGCTCTGAGGTCCCCGCACTGTCCCTGAGGTGCAGGGCAGCGAGCCTCAAGGGGGAAGTGTACCTTTTCCCCTCCCCAGCAGAGCCGACAGTCCCGGTGCCTGGGCCCCGGTCCAAGCCCACATGCCCACAGGCGCAGAGCTTACCCCTCCACCCACTGGCCTTTTCTCCACCGGCCCCCTTTCCCTAACTAAATCTGCTCCTCAAACCTGCACCAGCCCTCCTCCGAGAGCAGGCCATTCCAATACTGAGGGCAGGGGTGAGGAACTTCCACCCTGCAGGCCGGAGAAGGCCCAAGAAATCACCAATACCAACAACATCACACCCCTCACCAAAGAGAAGCATTTCCAGCCATCACAGTGGGGGGAGGTGACTAAATGTTTGACCCTTTTTTTCCCCTTAATATCTAACACACTTATTAAAAATTGAAGAACTCAGAAACGACCCGTTTCTGTTGTGGTTTCTCACTCGCTGCCTTCAAGTCTAGGCCAGGGCGAGGTGATCCTACAGGACCCGCTGGGTTTCCGAGACTGTAATTCATCACAGCAGTAGCCTGCTTCATCTTCCTCCCCTGACCAAACACAGCAGCTGATAGTTTAGGTTGCTCATTTCACGTGGCCCCCAAATGATGCTAGAACTATCCAATTGGCCCTGGGCAGCAAAAAGGTTCCCCCGCCCCGACCCCCGCCCACCTTAGTGGACGCAGCTCTCACAGGCCCTTCTGTTCGTCCCCTCTCTGTGCTTCGTCTTGCTTTTCCAAACCCTGAGCCCAGTTCATTGTCTGCTGAGGGTGCATCCAGAATGGCCCGAATAAGAGGAGTCAGGCCAGCGTGGACAGGGCCCCAGGGAGCCACCGGCACCCAGCCTCTGTTAACAATCACCCTCAAGCCCCTCCCCACAGCCAACCCTGGTTTTTCAGGGGCCAAGCTGTGAGGCGGCCCCACACAAGGCAGCAAGGCACGCCACTGGGGTGGGCGAGAAGCAGCTCACCACCTCCCCTCCTGCCCCAGACAGAGGGGTGAGCCCTGCCTGCCGGGAAGGGTGGAGGCAGGCATGGAGGAGGGGCGTCAGGTGCTGGGCTGACCTTTACCCAGCTGAAGAGAACCAACTTTTCCCAGGGCTGTTTGATGTGAGACAGGACCTCGCTTTGTTTGGTTTAGCTCTTAAGTTAAATACATAGGACTCCCAATTAACAGTATCTGTCAACGGTTATAAAATACTAATACATTTCTGGGATAGCCTCATAAATTATTTACTTTGTCTTGTTCTTAAAAAAAAAAAAAGGATGTGAGTAGCCGGTCAAAACAGTTCGAGTAAACGATTAATTGGCCATGGTCTTAGTGACCAAAGATCTTTCTCACCGTGGTGGGAACACATGGTTGTTCTATCAGTCTCTAGTCCGCAGTTTTGTGTGTGTCAAATGACTTTGTAAAACAGTCGCTCCTTGTAGCTACTTAGGCCGCTTATGGACAACGAAACAGGATTTGGGCTTTGGGTTCATGGTTCAGGGTACATGGTTTCATGGGACATCCCAGTTAATTGGCCTAAGAATGTGTTTAGGGCTTCTGTTCTACCTCCAATTTCATTGGTTAGTACCTGGGGTTTTTCATGCTGCTGCTTAAAACGTGTTTACTTTGTGGTTGACAAGTGCCAACCCAGCCGTTTCTATGGAGTTATGGAGTCCTGTCCCCGGCTGTATGGCGACGTTCACCCTCGTTGTCAGAGTTGTTCTTCCTCCGTTCGCCTAAAACTCCCAGCCCCGTGAAACTCCCAGAAACACCAACCCGCAGCCATGGAGTCGATGCCAACTCATAGCAGACCTACAGGATAGGGTAGGACTGCTCCTGTAAGTTCCAGAGACTAACTCTTTACGGGAGGTGAAAGCTAGTGGTTTCAAACTGCGAAAGGTTGAGTTGGCAGCCCAACGCCATAACCGCTATGCCACGGGGCTCCGTGCAGCCCCCACCAAGTTCCTACCAGATCGTTCAGGTTGCTGTTGTCAATTTGACCCCCGTGTGGGTCGTCCTTCAAAGGCCTGATGCTCAAGGCCGACCTTTGTAAGCAGTTGGCCTGCACGGTCGCCCGAATTCCTCTTTAAATCTTAAGCCAAACACGGCCCCTGTCTTAAGCCAAACACGGCCCCTGCAGACACTTTACAATCCTGAGAACTGAGCCTGCGTCCCTGACTCGGGCTTGCGGGAACTGCTGAGTCGGTGTATGTCTTGCCGCTTTGCCTATATTCTCAACAACAGCAACGAAATTAATTTAAAAACTCCCGAGGACTTTAGGCGGCACGCAGTGGCACTCAGTGACCCAAAGACCAGGCTCCCTCTGGATGGAGGGCATAGGAGCCCCGTGGCACAGTGGTTACTCGGAATGCTAACCCCACGGTCAGCACTTTGAAGGGCTTTTCTACTCCTGTCAAGAGCTAATGGTCTCCGAAACTCACCTATTCTACCCTGTCCTGTAGGGTCGCGATGAGACTCTTGGCCTCAACTCCGTGATAGTGAGTTTGGGTTTTACTGGTTTGAAGGGAGTGCCACGTGTCTAGCACCTACATCCCTCCCAAATGGCCCGGCAGAAAGACTTCTCTGATCATCTCCCTAGAGAGCTCAGGCGAGCTTAGAGATGCCAAGGGGACAAGAGTCTAAAGTTATAACATTTTCACATGAAGCTGACTTTTCTTTTTTTAGTGAATCCGATTCAATTCAATGGCAGTTCATTTGGTTGGAGAAGCTAAAGTGCATCTATGGTATAAGGCTTAAAGCTCATCTCCCCGGGTGGTTATATAACTTTGGCTCCTGAAAACCCTGCCCATGGGCCTTGCTGTAGTCTTGGAGCATGGGGGAGGGGTGGGGGGTGAGGGGGTCTTTTGCCTCTTCCCCAGGTCTAGACCCGGCCTATTAAGATGACCAGACTGGCCTCTGGACTTCTGGATCACCAAGGCCTGCAGTGTTGAGTGGGTTCTGCTCCAGCTCCCAGCTAGAGGACAGTCCAGCCCACCCCTGCCCTGGTCTTCTAACCTGAACCAAAGGGTCTCAGTCAAGTGAACCAAGACTCCCAGGACCACACGGGAACCAGCAGGATGGGGGGGGGGGCAGCCCTGTGGTCAAGTAATATCTACGGCACCACTTGTTGAGCTGTTGGTTCTCAGAGGGCCGCCAGCTTCTCCAACCCTCATCTGTACCAGTGGAGACCCAGTAGTTCTCCATGGAGGGTGGCTTTCGAGTAAAGGGAGGAGATGTGCATAAAAGATAATTTAGCTCTGGACCGAATACCTACAAGCACTCCACAGGCCACTTCTGGGTGGAGGGGTGGTGCTGCCTGCTCTACGTAATGTCTTACAGAATGGGCCAATCCAGACCTCTGGCTTCTCTCTGGCCTGCGATAACCCCTGGTCTCAGCTGGCTGGAGCCGAGAGCAGCTGCCCCTTGGGGCCGTGGGTTTGGCTCAGGCCTCACACCACATGCTCTTCTATTAGGTCCAGCCTGCTGTCCACTTCTGTCACTTGCCCGGGTCCCCTGGGCTCTTGGTGTGTAGGTCAGGCAACTCACTGGCAGTCTGGGCTCAGAGGCTGGCACGTGCCTATCTTATGTCGGGTGGGATCCACTGGGCATTAATACCCCTGCCCGTTTCCTCCACAAACTATGAGTACCCACTGGGGAGTCAAAACTCAAGAGGCCAGAAATGGGGGAGGGGACAGATACTAGGATCCAGTATGGAAAGGAGAGGCAGGCTTTCTTAAGTGAGTTCCACATGCTCCCGTCTATGAAGTGAGGCTGAAAATGCCAGTCTTGTGTGGATTAAATGGAACACCGCCTTGGGACAGGCCTTTTAGAATGCCTGCCTCGTGGTGGTGGTGCATACACACCGTGTTCCTTCCTGCTGCTTGGAAAAAGGCAATTTAGAAACTGACTGCCTGTGTGTGAAAGCCAGAAAGCCTGAGCTGTATTTAAAGCTTGCAGAAAATGCAGCAAGCCGTTAAGTTCTGCAGTGTGTCTGAAAAAGATGTGCCTGTGGACATGTGCCAATGTCCTTGAAGTTCTATTGTGTTTTCACTGTATTCCAGTTTTGAAACCTTTGATGTGAACAGCTTTGAACAGTTTTGCATCAATTATGCGAATGAAAAATTGCAGCAGCAGTTTAACCTGGTAAGTGACTTTTCTGCCTTCTTGAAAGTTCTCGGGGGGTGCCAGTGGGGGTGGTGGGGACTTAGTATACCTTCTTCAACTCTGGGTTTTCAGGGGAGAGGCATGTGGGTCACTGCACCACCTTGTGGCCATGGCTTGGAATTGCACCTTCCTATTCTCCCACTTGCCTGCTGCTGTTTCCTCTTCAGATGCACACCTGCTACCGTTGGATACAAGACCTAGTGTGCAGCCCGATCAAACGACTTAACCTGTGGCCTGAAGGCTCACATTCCTTGCTTGCCTCCTCCCTTCCTCAGCACCAGGCTAACAACTCTTATCTTTAGAGATTCCGCTTCCCCGGAGAGCCCTCCCTGATGCCTCCGTGGCTTTTCCCGGCTTAGGAAACCTCCCTACATGCTGGCCCGTGTCTGAGCAGCCATCACTGACTGCCCTGTGTGCCTCCAAGCTGGCCAGCTTCAGTGGGTCCTCACACCCGTTGGCCAGGCCTCACTGCCCCTCAGAAACAGCCACAGTGTCTGAATTCTCTAGGGAAGAAGCGAAGGTCTTACACGATCTAACCTCTGTCCCGTGCCATGCCGCCACCGTCCATCTGTCCATGGCTGTAGTCTCTACCTAACACCCGCTCATTCCGTTATCAAACACTCGCTGAGCCTCCACACTCCACACAGTGCTTTACTCCACGCTTCCCGCTCCCCGGCTCCCCGACAAACTCATTCATCCTCCAGGAGGGACCTGAGCCAAGACCTCTGGGAAGCCTCTCCCTGAACAAGTGAGCAGAGATATCCAGTTGTTGGTGTCTCACAGTCTCATTCTTAGGTCACCTGGCTCCCCCCCCAGCACGGCTGCTTCCCAGCCAGAGAGGCAGTGTGTGCTGTTACCCAGGGGCCTGGGCAGGAAGGGGCTACAGGACCACTCTGGGCCCATGCAATGCCCGGGCTACACCCTCCTCAGAACAGCAGTGTTGCTCGTGGTCCAAGGGCTGTTGCCTCTACTTCAGGGTCTTCTCAAAGAAATAAACATTCCAAACAGTCATCAGTCTGCTTTTCCCAAATGTTTCTGTTTTCCTCTCTGGGAGCACATATTAATACTCTTTATTTCCTTTCCATATTAACTGGTGGCTTCCAGCATGTCTTTAAACTTGAACAAGAAGAATATATGAAGGAAGATATCCCTTGGACTCTGATAGATTTCTATGACAACCAGCCAGTCATTGACCTGATCGAAGCCAAGATGGGCATCTTGGACTTACTGGATGAAGAATGCTTGGTAACTTGCCCCAATACCTGCCGCTGCCTTCAGCTTCTGAGTAGTGCGCATACTGCAGAGTTCCTAATGGGCATCTGATGTGTTATCTAAGGCGCTCGGGTGATGAAGTGGTCATGTATTGGGCTGCTAAATACAAGGTCGGCAGTTTGAAGCCAACAGCTGCTCTGTGGGAGACAGCTAGGGCTCTCTACTCCCGTCAAGAGTGACAGGGGCATCATCAGAACAAAAAATCTTACCATAGTGAATGATGGGGGGAGTGCGGAGTGGAGATCCAAAGCTCATGAGTAGACCACTGGAGATCCCCTTGCAGAGGGGTCTCGGGGAGGAGAGGAGCCAGTCAGGGTGCGATGTAACAATGATGA